GGCATAATTCATCTTCTTCCAGTCTTATCCTCAAGGAGAGGATTAGAAGCTTGGTTTTCTTTCTGATCATTTTTGTCACGTAGCACAGTAGCTGTACTATCACCGTGGAACATTTGATGCTGTTAGAATTTGCTTTAGGCTGAGTCATAAACCATCAACTGTAAGTAATTATTGTAATATTGGGTGAGAAGACCAAAAACAGCACTTACTGGAAAAGATTTAATGGACCAGACAATTTCACTGTTCTCTGGAACCCATTTGACACTTCCAACAGTGGTTTTAAACTTTGGTGAGTCTGCATCATTTGGAACTGGAATGTGAATCTCCACATTGTTGGCAGTTGATCTACGCTTAAACTGACTTTTTGCCTACAGAAAAGTGAGAAAAATCACATCTCTAAGCATGTACACTATGCATGTAAATTCAGAGAGCTGCCAGACAATTTCTCTCTACCACAATCTACTGAGAAACAGCACAACACAGAACATAAACTTACAAATCAACTTTTCTAAAGAGACAAGTCCCAGGGAAACAGGAGGTGTTTGTGTAAGAAGGTACGTGCTGCTGGTGAAGCACTGAAAACAAACAAAAGAGAAGACAAACCAGCCATAATTATTTTAGAACTTCTGACCTTGATCATGTACTCGATGCGGCTGTGGGAATGCTTTTCAATCACAGATTCAATCCAGATCAGTGGCTTTACCTGATGGGAAAGATATTTTACAGTTGTAGACTTTACTTTGGCACGGTCACAAAACTGTCATTTCCTCATAAAACTACACTGAATACACGAATTCCGTAAGTAAGCACTGGCATACAAGCAAAAAGTAGCAAAAATTAGCAGGCATTAGTGGAAGAAAATTAAAGTATTTCTCAGATTAGTTCCTAACATCTTCAGTTGCCAAACATTTCTCAGTGTACGTGCATGCTTTTCTGGATTGTTTGCTTTAACTGTTGCTGGTCTCCCATCACAGCTGACAATTATAGATTTCCTCTATACTAAATATTTCCTTTTCTAAAGAAACGTTAATGTACACAATATCTGTTACCTTGAGGAGCCACAATACAGTATGCTAACATACTCTAGGAAATGTTTAGAGGACAAATTAATGTTGTCAAGCACAACAAATTGTCGCACTTAGTGATTAGCTTAAAAATGAGCTGATTCGTGTTTTGAAAATAGTTTCAATAGTAGTTGAAAAGATAGAGACTTACTGCCAAGTTATTTCTAAACTCCAAAAAGAGCGAGCACAAAGCTTTGCTATTAATGGTTGACTTCCCAACTACTATGCTGCCCATACTTAAAGAAAAAACAAAACACATTAAGGGAAAGCCATTAGCAAATCTACCTACAGACTAAATGATTCTCATAAAAAACTGTTGCAGTTCAGACCCAGACACCCAGACTTACGTGGGTATTGAGACGATAGGACATGAGTTCAAACTCTCCATCAGGTGGAATGAAAGAAATCGTCCTGTCGTTTTCAAAGCGAGAGAGACGAACACACTGATGGAACTTCACATCTTCCAGTTCGACTGATTTACTTTTGCCACCTATCAGAAAACACACATGCCAAGACTTCAAATCAGTACTGCCATTACATCAGAGGTCACATTGCAGCGTTATGTAGCAAAGCAGATGTCTGCTGATATCCCCTCCTTGGTTTAGCCCAGTAGTTTTTCTACGACTCCAATAGTCCCAGCAGACAAGGCAACAAAGCCCAGATGATTACCACGCTCACTGTGGTATTCCATCTTCTCTTGGTACTGGCACACAAGGCCTAACATGGTTTTCTACATAGGTAAAACAAGTATTTTCATCATAGGATCAATCCTTTCACTTGAACCTCACCCTAAGGTTGCAGAGAACACCCATCACAATTTTGAAGGTATTGCTGAAATACTCACGGCCTGTGTTATCAAAGAGAACTTTGTCATTTAAACCAAGGCGAAGCTCTGGCATTCCTGAGAGAAAGACTCTCATTTTAATGGACCCAACTATTTCACTCCGTAATACATTTCCATTGGCACTGACCTGAAGGGCAATGAAAAAAAAGATAAAGGTTGCCGTGACACGACATGATGTGAGATCAAACAGCAATCCCACCCCATCCTCAGCCCCCAGGTCTCCATGGATGCCTTTCTTCCAAGCAACCAATCCAGTACAGTACAATTAGATCAAGGACAAGGTGGGATTAGACTGAAGGAGGCAGGAAGGACATGTCAGAAACCAGCTTTGGGACTGCTGAGCACAGAGCACAAATTCTAGTAAAGGATTATTTATCTATGGATGTCATTATAGATTGTTAGTCCTAACAACAGACAGCATCCCAGTGCACCAATCATGGTCACTGAATTTTTATTATATCCTTGTAAGTTTTCAGACAGTAAGTTCTTCTCAAGATTTCTACTAATAATTCTCATTAAAAGTTCAAGTAAAAGGTACCCACCAAAAGGTTAACAGACTCTATAACATCCAGGAACACTTCATTCTTCCTATATTTTATCCCTTCTGATCTCCATGAAACAGCATTTGTAACAGTGGCAGGTGGACGTGGAGCTCCAGTTTCAAGTTTGTGACCTTCCTGAGTGATGTACCTTTATAAGCACACAATTAGAACAACAACAACAACAACAAAAAAAAAGAATTATACTCTGAAACGTTTGCAGTGTCTTTTGTATCAGATTTACATCATCAATAAATCAGTTGGATATTACAAGGCTACACTTTAGCAAGTATTAAATATTTTGATAGCTAGAGGACGAAGCCAAAACATCTGTTTTTACATAGAAAACGTAACACTTTCCCAAGGACCTTACAAACGTAAGCAGTACAGATACTTACTCTTGTAAAATTTTACTATCAGTGGTTTGTGGGTAACCAAAATCCATAAGCTCATCTAACAACTCATAAATAATAACAAAATTATCTCTAATGCTCTCTTCTTCCAACTCCTTGAAATATTCAGAAAAAACCTGAAACAACAAAAACAAAGAGGGAGGGGAAAAAAGGACATCAGCTGAGGAACTACAGCACATTCTGAAAGTATTCCTATAACTAAGAAGAGTTTGGAGGGAAAAAAAGAAAGAAAAAAATCACCAAAACAAAACCTATAATTCCTAAAAAGCATTCTGTTCAGATTAGCAGCAGAAAACCCACCTCGATTAGGAGAGAGTTACAGAGCCCTAGAAATAACTCTGATGATTACAAAACATATTTATACTGGGGAGAACAGTTGTGATGCCAGGTCCAAATTAACCAAACACAGAATCTACAGATGGCACTACTCATGCATCAACGTTTTCCTCCACGTTCTCTTGTGCAACTTCTCACAGCACTGTGTCACATCCTTTGCCTACTCAGTTGTAAAATATCAATTCCATTATTAGTAGTTAGGAAGACATTTCTATAAAATAATCAAATATAAAGAAAAAATACTATTACTACAGATTCTTTTAAAAAAAGTGTAAGCTCTATGCATTTTTATTAGATCACACTAACAAACAGATGGGAGTTACATCTGAAATTTCCTACTCACCTGAACTACTTTATATAAAAATGAAAACACCAGTGATACGCAAGCATTCTTCTTAGAAGTTGCAACAACTAATAGAGGATGTTCAGGAACATGCATTCAAAGTCATCATGGGATGAAAAAAATGTACTGAGTGTGGTTTTAAAAGCTTTGTAAAAGGGGCAGCCTGATCTGCTGCCTGACTTAGAGGTGAGCAGCCCTGGCTGAGGCAGCAGGGTTGGGACTGAATGATCTTTGAGGTCCCTTTGACCCAAGCTGTTCTGTGATTCATTCAACAATCTGTCTGCAGCACAAAGGATACGATAGAGGTTGTTATGTTTAATCCACATGAAACGAACTCCTCCATGTGCCAGAATAGGAGAAAGCGTTCCCTCTTCTTCCTTTTCCATAAGGATTGGCATAAAATGCTCCACCTCCGACATGTCCACATCCCCACGGTAATTCCGACAGATGAGAACCTATGGGAAGAACAATTCCTTACACTTCTCCTTCGAGATATGATGTTACCATGCAGGACCAGCACACAAGATATTTAAAGTGCCTCTTTAACTGAAAAACTCCAACACCAAGCTTCAGTGGGGTCTATGCATACTACAAATGCAAACCACAAAGCCAACACGTGTTATGATTTGAATGCAAATCCCCAAGTTTGCAGTCGTATCTCCTAGCGTTACCCCTCACATACAGCTGCAGACACCCCGTTTAAGATGGAAAAACACGTCACTCTCCTGGGACAAATCGCCTCCCATTAGGGCAGAGATTAACTACCCCAGGCGGGATGCTCGGGAGCCCGGCAGGCGGGGCCGCTCCCCGACTCCTCCTTCAGCACCTGTAACCGCGAGGAGCGGACACGGCGGGAGCGCCCCACAGCTGGGTGCGCAGCGCCGGCGGCAAACAGCGGGCGGGAAGGGGAAGCGGCGGCCGCAAGGCAGCGAGGCCGGGGGAGCCCCGCCGTGCCGGGCCCTCGGAGCTCAGCGCACGGCCGACGCTCTCAGCAGCTCGGCTCTCGTACAGCCCGCAGCCCCGGAGCCGCAGCGCGGCCTCACCTTCCCCTTCAGGTCCAGCACGTAAACGGCGCTGGCCGACATCGCGCCGCCCGGGGCCGCCGCGCCCGATCACAGCCACGGCGACTTCCGCTTCCGGCCGGCACTTCCGGTGGGAAGCGGCTGCACGAGGCCCGGCCGCGCGGAGGGATACGCGCGGTGATCCGCCGGCAGCAGCAGAGCGCTTTATCGGCCGTGCGCTGCTGTAAAGTAGTCCGCGGCCGGCTGCGCTCCGCAGGGGAGTTAGGAAGACTGAGGAGCCTCGGGGGGATCAGCGGTAGCAGAGGGAGAAGGCTTGGGTTGAGAGGTGCGTGAGGGTTTTGATGTGATTCACATCACCTCCGAGTGAGGGCTGTGAGCGCTGGCACACGGCCTGCGTGCAGAGCGCTGCCCCTGCTGTGCAGGCAAAGGAGCACCAAAGTAATGGATGAAAGCAGCGTTTTAATAAGTTACATCAAAGATACAAGGATTTTAGAATACAGCAGATACCACCCCCCCCAACTCTGAGCGATTTCAGATAGAAATTACACAGTTCTGCAATTTATGAGCGCGGCTGACACAACGTAATGCTGCCACAATCCTGCTTCTAACGAGAGCTGCTGGCATAGGACAAATAAAGGAACATTTCCCGTTGTCTCACAATTATGTTTGGCCTCAGCGTGGCTCTGAGCACTGAAAAACACCCCTCTGCACCTCCGTAAGTCAAGAAGAGACTTTGTTGAGTATTCTGAAGCTGAAATACGGCAGTACAGGGCGATAAATGTCCCGAAGATACATTAAATACTCAGTACACGCAATACAGAGGTTTACACGGCAGCCCTGTTGGACAGAAGCAGAACTCCCCGTGCGAACGCCGCCGGTTCACTTGGTCCAGCTGACTTTGGGAATGTCGTAGTGCTCAGTCAGGGTGTCCAGGTGCCTGTTGAAGTCCTGCGGGACAGAGGAGGCACAAAGCGCTCACAATCGCACCATTCCCCAGCGCTCAGCCCCCCTCGCAGCGCCGCGCTGCCCCGCGGCTCCGCCCGCTGAGCCCCGGCGGTTCCGCTCACCTCAACTCTCTGCTTGTGGGTTTTCGAGGCCTTCTTCAGGATCCTCTCCATTTGCTGTTAGGAGACACAAAGCACCGTTACTGGCGGGGTTCCGAGCCCGTCCCGCGGCCCCGTGGGGGTCGGGCCCGGCAGCCGCCCTACCCGCTTCTCCTGCATCTTCTCGTAGGCCACCTGCGCCGGGGTCCGCTTATCCAGGCCGCGCTTCTTCTCCTCTTCCTGCTTCTTGCCGCTCACGATCTGCTCCAGGATCTGGGCTTTGTCCTTCGCCTTCTTCTTCTTCCTGCGGACAGACGCCGCTCAGCGCCCGGCCCCGGGCCCCGGCCCAGCTCCCGGTTCCCCCCCCGCCCCGCCGCTCACCGCTTCCCGGCCCCCAGCCCCGTGCCGCCGCCCTTCAGCCGCAGCGGCCCGCGCTGCACCGCCTCGTAGTCCGCCATGCCTCGCGGTGCGGGGCGCAGCGCCCCTGGCGGCAGCGCGCGAGGACGGCGTTGCAGCGGCGCTGAGGTAAAACCGTCACCGCCCGGCCGCGGCCCCGAGCCGAGCGAAAGCGAGTCGTTGCCGCTTGTTTTGAGGCGCCGGGCTGAGAGAAGGGCAGCTGCAGGGCTGCTGTCAGTCCCGCCCTCGCGTTTCACACTTAATTCACAGGTCTGTTTTCACGTACAGACAATGCATTCTCTCGTATTTTCAGTGTAAAAGCCATCTATGGCCTGTATATTTGTAAGCTGGTCACACCAATGGCCATTTGCTAGAGACTGTGTGTGTTAATGGAGGAACGGGACTTTGCAGGAGTTGCCCCAGTAAGGCTGACACCTGTTGGCCAGCCGCGCAGTGCGCGATGTGGAGAAAAACGAGACGGGAGGGGCAGAGGTGAGCAACGCTGTGACCAACGGCGAGCATTCGGTGCCAGCAATCAACGAGGAAAGGCATTGCCAACAAATATCCCATGTCGGGGTTTTATGTTTTTTGGTTTTCAGTATTCCACATCAAAACATCATGTAGTGCACTGGAATTAAAGTGTTAATGCTCCAGTTCCAGGTACCTGTCCCTACACATTACGGAAGTCATGGGGCGGGCTCTTACTGCCTGCCAGTGGGTGCTGGAGGTGTTTTCCCAGCCGTTCCAAGCTTTTCAGGTTTGACTCGGTCTCGGGAACTCTCTCCTATCTTATTTGATTTATTAGTCTCAATTTCAACTAGATTGTATTATATGCATTCTGATATCATAGTTGGTAAAATAAGTTTTCCTCCATAGATTGTTGCCACTGTTTTTTTTTCCTCCCTTTCTTCCTTCCCATTTCGTGGGGCCAGAGGGGAAGGGGGGGTCCAGGGGCCTACTGCCCCCTGTCACGGGCATAGATTGATCTGGTGAACTCCGTGAAAACTCCTCAGGCAATCTGCTGCATGAAGGGATGAAGATGTGCTGTCTGTGAAGCCTGCCTGCTGCTGCAAGGCACACGCCAGAAGTATCAGCCGTGTGGCTCAGTGCTGTAACGTGAGGCTCTGTGTGCACACAGCTGAGTGATGCTGGATAAGAGCCGTGAGTAGCCAGACTGGAGATTTGATGAAGTGCTCCTATGATGGCTCTTTGCAGCCCGTGGAATAGGGAAGCTGGTTACTTGATCCTCTGCTTTACTCGAACCTCATTGTTGCAGCTTTTAATATCTGAATATCCAGGCCTCCTATAAAGGTGACTTTGAGGAAAGAATGGTGGGACAAGAATCAGCGTTCAGAGCTGGAAATGGGCAACAAGCAAACCATTTTCACTCCAGAGCAACTGGATGCATATCAGGTACAAAACAAACTAAATGAGTCTTTAGACAGAACACTGAATAATGGTGTTGCTCTTGTTGTTTTTTTTTTTAAACAATCTCTTTAAAAATTAGTAAGTAAGAGCATTGAATTACAGTGAAGATTTTAGTAAGATACTTTAGTAAGATTCTTACATCAAGAAAGGTTATAAAGTATTCCTAATTATGTACAAAAAGAAAGAGTATTAATGGTCGGCCACATTATCATTCTGTTTGAGTCACTGTAGTAGAAGAGTCAGTGCCAATGAGTGCTAAAAACTGTCATTACATATGATGTCTTATTTCATAGGACTGCACATTCTTTACAAGGAAAGAAATTCTGAGGTGAGTCTTGTGTGTATGTTCTGTGTGTAAAATACAGAGATTGCTACAAAATAGATTATATAAAAGATGAAGTACATTTAAAAATATTTTTAATGCATTTATACAAAATTAAAGTCATACACTGGACAATCTGAGCTTCTTTCTTTCTTTCTTTCTTTCTTTCTTTCTTTCTTTCTTTCTTTCTTTCTTTCTTTCTTTCTTTCTTTCTCTCTTTCTCTCTTTCTCTCTTTCTCTCTTTCTCTCTTTCTCTCTTTCTCTCTTTCTCTCTTTCTTTTTTTTTAATGTACAAAAACTATCTATGCAGTTTATCATAAATTAAGCCGGAGTTTTAAATTTTCTGTGAAGGTAACATCTCTCTCCCATAAATGTAACACGGCGTATTTTAGCGGTTGTTTTGCTGCTGACATCTGTGTTCCCCTCACTTTGTTTTAGGACAAGTGCTTCAAAGCGTCCTGTTGTACCCTGGGACCTGTTGCCTGCTTTAAGAAATCATTAATGATTGTATCAAATTTTATTCACATTTACTTCATGTAAATAATCAGCAGCAGTTACTCTGAGGTGCTTTCTTCTCCTTTGTGAATTTCATCAAATATTCCATTTAATTAAAGGATCTGCCAAAGGTTTGGTGTTCTGTTCCTGTAAGACTAAGACTTTTCACTGAAAATAACTTCTGCACCTCTCAAATGGTCATCAGGCACTGCTTGCTAATTTCTCTGAAGCATGGAGTATGAATGCCAATTTTTACAGAACTTTTAGAACTTTGATATCTACGTATGAATGAAATATTGAATAAAATATGAAAGATTCTATAATAACTGAAATTTAAATCTGCCTTTCCTTGTACTAAGTAGATGCCAGAGCCATAAGTGTGTCATGAATAAGACATTTATTATTGATAAGAATCCCTTTTAAAATTCTGACCTATTGTTTTGTTGATAACAGCTATGAATGAGATCTTCACACACACAAAGGGATGAGGAAAATAGCAAGCTGACAAAGTACTAATACATTCAGATGACTGTGCATACATTCTGTCTCCTGAGCTTGACTACTATGAAAAAAATAGAGATACCTGTGGTGAATGAAAACTTGTTAAGTTGTTCTGAAAGCCCAAGGACTTTATCACCAGTTTCACTATGCTGCTTTTTAATGTTGTCTCTTCCACTCACGTCTACTACAGAGTATAACAGCTGTTATTTAGGGACTGATACCATCCTGGTAAAGGATGCAGAGTGTGAAGAATAGGTAAGGTAAACACGTCGTTGTCAGAGCTCTAAATAACTTGTTCCCTAAATGAGCCTTTCTTTCTCTTTCAGACTGTTCTACAAATACCGAGATCTGGCCCCGCAGCTCGTCCCACTCGACTACACCAGCAGACCCAACGTGACTCTTCCCTATGAGCTCATTGGCAGCATGCCAGAGCTGAAGGTACAGAGCAAGGAGCACAACTAGAATCAAGTGACACGATTCAGTTTAATCTACCATTTTTAATAATTCATCCAGTACTAATTACTAAGGGGATGAAATACAAATAAATTTTGCTTACTAAAGTCAAGCCTTTCTGGAACCTTCTAATGATTTCCTGAAAACACCCTGAAAGTGCACAGAGGTTAAAGAAGGCAACAGCTGTGCCTAACAGATTAGACAAAAACATAATGGCAGAAAAAAGGAGTATTTGACTGACAAAAAGGGGTTACAAAAATTATTGGGCGCCTGTTTTCTTATCTGCACTGAAATAAATGCTCATAAGGACGACCTTCCCTCAGTGCTGTGTTCTGTTTCCCAGGACAATCCGTTCCGCCAGCGGATAGCAGAGGTTTTCTCAGAGAGCGGAGATGGCAATATGACTTTAGATGATTTTTTGGACATGTTTTCTGTGCTGAGTGAGATGGCTCCCAGAGACCTAAAAGCTTATTATGCTTTTAAAATATATGGTGAGTGACACAGGCAAACAAAACCCAAAACAAGAAAAGTAAATGTTGAGGAAAAGCTGTAGCTGCGCACAGGAATGCAAAATAATCCATTTTGTGACTGTAATGGTTTCTAGTTAGGTATGTTTTAATACAGCGTTTCTCTCTGCTTGCATTAGAATGCCCACTCTTTCTCCTAGAAACTTCTGGTCCCTATTATCCTATTGTCTCTTATTTATTTAGGATTAGGATTTACTAAAAAATTTGCAACCTGAAAGTATCTGCAGCTTTTAAGAACTGATAAAAGAATTTAAGAAACAGTTCTGTCTCAGAAGCTGCTTTGAAGATTGAAAGGGAAGGGATTTGGCTGCCCATGAAGCCATGGTGTTTGGGCTGGGTTTGGCTGTGTGGGGGAGATTACTCCTCCAGCAGTTTTCTCTAAGGGCAAGTTCATTTTTTTTTCACAGCCCAATTTTTTGTTACTTTCCCCAGGATCAGCCAAAGCCAAACAATGTAACAGACAAAAAAAAAAACCCTACAACCAGCTGAAACAAAACAAAAACCCACAAAACATTTTTTTTTTTTTTAATTAAATTGTACATGATTCAGCACAGTCTTTAAGTGAACCCACACCAAAACTGGACAGCCCATTATCTTCCCTTAACTTCTGCTATTTCATGTCTCTACTTCAGTAGTGCTCATTTGCTAGAATGATTTAATTATGGCTTGACTATAAGTAACTACTACGCTATTTACGACTGTTACCTTTGGTACGACAGGGAGACATAAGATTTTTATTTTGTTGTTACATTTTTATACAAACACACATCACTTCCTTTCTCATTTGGACGTTCTAAAACAAATACATTACTGGCTTGGAAACCAAACCCTTCCTATCAGGTCTTGGCAGCCAGCCATGTGAAGTACTGCTTTTTCTCACTTTTAATTCTTTTTGTTTCTTCTGATAGATTTTAACAATGATGATTACATATGCAAATCAGACTTGGAGAAAACTGTGAACAAATTAACCCGCAATGAACTCACCCCAGAAGAAGTTAGCCTTGCATGTGAGAAGGTGATTTATGAAGCTGATCTGGACAACGACGGAAAGCTTTCTTTGGAAGACTTTCAGCATATGATAATTCGAGCTCCAGATTTCCTCAGGTAATATTTGATTTCAGTTTATAACACCCAATTGCTCTACTGGAAGCTGTGAAACACACTTTGGCTGCTCAGTGGTTACAGATCTCTGCTCTTCCCCAGCAGTTTTGGTAGAGTTCCCCACCACAAAAACTGGGAAAACACATGCATGAGAAAGCATGAAGGCTTGCATTTGTATCTCACTATTGCTTTTCAAACCTCCTGTGTCCTTTTTACATGATTAAGGTTCCTAGTAACTGAAAAAGTTAATATTAGCATGCAGGCTCCATTGATAAATACTGAGATTAGCTCTTTCAATGTACATTGTGGTCCAAGCATGCTTTCTGATTTACATAAAACAGCATTCCAAATCTTGCATTTATTTAATATAATAATTCTTTGCAAGCGATATGAAAAATAGTTTCCAACTTAAACTACAGTTTTAGGAGTAATTATAACGAATCCCTTTGAATGGAGTAAAGTGATTCGTAAGTGATCTTTGCTTCCTTTTTTAACAGCACATTTCACATTCGAATCTGAACCTAGCAAAACACAAAGATGAAAGTCCTTCTTCTTGAACAGTTTCTGGAATGGAACCAGTCACAGAACTCTCTTATTTACCTCTTTAAAAGGAAAAGCTCATCTTTATTGAATTTTCCCTGTTATTCCGCAAAAGGTGTGTTTCTATAGAATTGCCCATTCCCACCTCCTTCCCTCACTAAAGCAATGATGTGCAAAAAAAAAACAACAACTAAGTTCAGGTACCACCAGGTAGGGGGTTGTATGAAATTACAGCTTCTTAAACAAAAAAAGATCCTATGAAAATACCCTATAGCCATTAAAAACCCCACGTTGTTATAGACTCATGCTGCATGCAGGAACCTCTGTACTGTTCCTACTGAACTACTCCTTTTCCTCTGAGACAAAGCTAGCTCTAGGTTTAGGAAAACATATTGCTGCCTCCAGAACTTGGTTTTCCTTAGAAAACACACGCTGGAAACGTGCTTAGCTCAAGTTCTGAGGTTCATAGAATGCCACCTACTTCAAAAATAGATTCAAAAACATGATGGTTAATCTAAATTGTGTAACCAACTCCTCTGATGTCCTTTAACAGCCTTAACAAATGATTCAGTCAATCAACTGGCCCAAGTATTCTCCTAGCGTGTCACTGATACAGGTTCTAAGATGGATAAAGATTTATTCAGAATTTACAATGAGAAGTCAGCTTAAACAACAAAAAAACAACAAAACCAGATCCTATCCCATGTTCTTGGCACTCTTCCCTGTTTTTGTCAATAGTTTTCCACAAAAGGATCTCTATGTTTTAATGATGTTTTAATGATGAACAAACTAAATTTTTTAAGTTCTCTTTTCATAAGAAGTTTATTTATGCAGTGCTCAGGGTCCTGTACAGAGTAAAAACATACATACTGTAATAAACAACAGTTCTGTCTTTTATACAAACATCAAAATCAATGGGAAGTGTTTAAGAAAGCAGTGGTAACGTGGGAAAGGTGGCAGCCAAGAGTGGTCCTTCTAAACATAGTTTACAGTTACTTATGAAAATATTGGGATATGTTAAGTTCCCCTCAGAACGAAGTCATGAGTCCCAGCTCACGCTCAGCTTAGAGCACAATTCCAGCAGGGGCTGGAGAGCAGCAGCCTGCTGCACTTTGATCAGCTTCAGAAGACAAAAACTCCAAGCATCAGTGAAAGAAATGGGTCAAAGAATAAGGCAGCCTGAAATAATCAGACTGCACATTACCATTAATGTTCAATTGAACAGATCTTTATTTCATCTATAAATGAAGACACACGTTAGTCATCATTCTTTCCCAACCCCTGTGAACTTCTAGCAGAAATGGAGACCATTCTTTCAGCAGTCATTTGTCCATTTCCTCTCCAGCATAACCTCCATCCATTTCATGTCCAAGAAAACAAGAAATCCCGGCAGCTTTTGAGCATGAGCATCAGCCAAACCACCACCACAGCAATAAAACCCCTTACAGTTGTCAGTAAGATGATTACTATCCCACACGAAAGGAGACCAAATAATTCCCAGCAGCAGTAATGAGACTTACAATAATCCATAGGATTTATAAATCTGAGGCTGAAAGTCTGATGGTAGCACGAGGCTGTGATGTCGTGGAACATGAGATGTGCCTATCAGCACAGGAACTGGACAGGCAACGTCAGCACTGAAGCAGCAGTTCCAGCATGCATTGGCAAATCAGCTGACAGGTCTGCACCCGAAAGGGTGAAATCTATCCAGCATACTGCAACCAGCCTCAAAAGTAAGGTCAACCACAGAATTCTATGATCCTCATCAAAGTAAAGGAATTTGAGAACATGCTCAAAAATGGGTTTGTTTCTCTACAAACCAAGTGTTAACTGATTACCTGGCATTCTAGTGGTATTTAGACATAGAAAATGTGTGGCAAGCACACTCTCAGCTTTTCAGATCTACTTAAATTCCTGTTTTATAGATTCTGTATCCAATTTCAGATTTATTCTGTCTTAGTTAACGAAAGCTTACATATAAATGCATTCCTGTATTCAGTGACCTTTTTTGAACATTGTGTTTTTGTAATATTCGTGCTTAAGAAAACACAGTAATTAAATTACGTGATGGAAATACCAACTACATGTTGTATTTATGCCAGATTCGATGTCAGTATTTGGCAACACGTAGCCAAGCAGAAATGCCACTGCGGTGTCTTTAAGCTTTCCCTGTCCTATATTTGCATTCTAGGTTTCATGTTGTTTACACTGATTCAGTTTCTGCATAGAGTCTGCATACTGTAGGAGCACAGCGATGACTGCAGGTCACAGTAACTGCACAAAACTTCCTGAGATTGGGCAATAACACAGCTGTTCACTGAGCAAAACCCATCAGTTCAGAAAAGGAAATCATGCTGTAAGTTATAGTATACTGACACAGGCAACAGCCAGCGTAAGTTTGAACAAAGGTGTTCACAGACAAAAAGCTTTTAATGCAAAAGGGTAACATCAGATTTAGCAAATGGAGGCTGGCAAATGATTTGGTTTGTAAGTTAATGTGATATTTCTTTCCTATCTCAAGACAAACAATTGGGATGCTGCCGATGGATGGGCAAGACATCAAACAATTAAGATGCTGTCATGGTGGACAGCCTGGTGACAGCAAGGCAGACTTAGCACTGATTTTCCCAGTCACTTCCTGAAGTAACTCTGGCTGCAACATCTGGCTACATTAAAAGAGGTGGCTAGATGTGAGACAATCCACGTGTACCACTAAGCCAGAAACAAAACTTGAAGCAGATCTGATTTGTGCAGGAGAACAGCATTAGACCATTCCTTAAGCACCTCAACTTGGCATCAGTAAGTCCTTGAAGCAGTCTTTTTTCTTAAAAAAAAAAACAACCAACCCATTCTTATCTCAGGCTAGCAGCATTGCTTGTCCAGTCTATAGCTCTGTAGGAACTGTCCTTTGAAGCACCAGAAGGTTCTTCAGTTCCTTTATGTGATTTTATCCTACCAGTACATCTGTGTGCCATTGACTGTGCTGCACTGTCACCAAGTCCAAAAAGCCACAAGCAAACAAAACAAACATTACAAGGTTTTGCTTAGAGGAAGGTTTCACATATAAATTTAATAATGAACAGAGCTCATTTTAATCTGCTAGCTATTAAAAAAAAAAAAAAAGTTGGTGGCATTTAAAATGCATTTTTAAGCTAGTAACTTACACAGTACAATTTCCTTTCTTCTTTTAGAAAAGCAGGCAGTATTCCTGTTGAGCTCAGTTGCATGCTGCAGATAAGTTTAAAAATCTATCAGATTTATAATTAACTCCAGTAACACTTAGGAGGGCTCCTCTGAGGCCAAGACAGATTACCAGAAAACTGAAGAAAACAAAGCTGGTAAGTAATCATTATTAAATCATTAACTTTAAACCGAGCTTTAATTTTATCCTTAAGTGCAGTTTTCAATGTAAACAAAGCAGCACATGAACAATTCCAGTGAGTTGCAGGACACAGCTGATATGTTCGTTTGGGTTAAATATACCATAACTCCAATTACTGACAGCAGACTTCTAAGCAGATTACTCTTACTGGCTCCTTTTATTAATCTAATTAGTCAGGCTTACAGCCTCTCAAATGAGAGCAATTAGTTACCTAGGTGCTTCACTAGGCTGTTACATTTTATACAATGGAATGTAATAGACTGTGTTTATAAGAATAAATATTTCCACTGAGGACTAAACATCGTTTGCATTGATGCATGCTATTAACAGGTTTGCTGCTGCTTGAAATCTGCAATGATCAATGCATGGCAGCAAGGCAAATCTCAGCTTTAAAAGTTTGTTTTCAGAAAGTGTTCATATGTGCAACATTTATTTGCATATGTGAGCGAGTGTGCATAAGAACACACAACTGGAAGCAGTGCAATACATTTTCTTGTCACAATTTATAACTAGCTACTACATCATGGCAGATCGGGGGCCATTTTCAACTAGAGAAGGAAGAGCTGTTCCCTGGGATGTTCAGTGTGGGATGTGTGTCCCTTGGGGGCTGCTTCTCTAAAAACTGAGTGCAGAACACCTGCAGCTCTCCTGCTGGATGTGCAGACCATTTAATTAAGTGTGGTCACCTGTAACCTGGCTAAAGGAACTCCTGGCAGTAAGGAACCAGCACACCTACAGCACACTTCGCTTTTTCTAAAAAAATAGAAATTCCTTTGAATTTTTTTTTAAACTCCAGTTGTACTCATGGATTGTCTACAACAACACAGCTGAGTAAGAACAGCAGATCGAAGAACTGTTTCTCTAGTAGCAAAAAGGAGTTATGTAGAAAGCTTCCTTATGCCTTCTGGGAAGGCGCAGCCCAGACTGCCTACATAAGTGCATTTCTTGGTTGTTTTGATGCAACTGCTTTATATGCATCCAGACACAGATCTGCAGATGTATCAAGTACATGTACCTGTACTTTATTAATATTGGCATTTCAGTTTCTGATTTTGATTATAACTTAATTTTCTAATTTGGATACGTTAGAGATACAGTGAGATTGAAGCCTGCCAGCAGAGGTGCTCTTACAGGTCGCATTCGATCTGTACTCCCTCTGCTACACAATGCCTGCCCAGTGGCAATCTGACAAAAATAAACTTGTTTCATCTCCAAAATTGAAGAGTCAGACAATTACTAAAATAAACAATTTCTTATTCAGATGGTCACAGAGTGACAAGGTTTGCTGGAAACACTAGAGTCCACAGACAGAAGTCTCACTCAGAACAGGCACAGTCCAGTTGGGCTGAGCAGGTGCTCAGATTAAGGCTGTGTCCCTCACAGAAGAACACATCGGAAAAAGCTGCTTTTCTTTTGCTGGTCTGGTGTGATTTTGACTCCCTGGTTGCTGCCCTGTGGGCTATTGCCTTCCTGAAGATGCAAAGAATTCCAGTTACTTATTTATACTTAACAGCTTCTACTGCCTATACTTCATCTATATGTTTTGATGAATCAACTCTGTACTTACACAAGAAATATTACTAAAAATCAGCAGGAGCTTTCACTCATTTATTTGACCCGTCAGTTCCATCAGCCTCTGTGAAAAGTCATAGAGCTGCACATTCTACTTTTGGCTTTGACCAGCAAGTGCAGAGCCTGCTCTCCTTTCCATCGAACCAAACACAGCAGAGACCAGAAAAATTACAGGATACGTTTGGTTTGTGCTCAGTACTTCAGTACAAGTAGAAGTGATTGGATTTTCTTCATGAAATGAAGCTAACAAAGTGTGAAGCAGACCTTCCATACTCTAAACTTATACAATTTACTTTTCCTGACTGCAGGAGCAAGAAATACCACTAAGCAGCTCTCCTCTACCACTCACATGGCTTTCTGAAAAACACATAGAAAAATTTTGTTCAGAGAACATCAACCACTGCAGCTGATTCCTGAAATGCAGACACAATGGTTTATAAGCCATGGGCCAGAGCACAGCTCACCAAAACTAAAAACAAACCTCTATGACCTTCAGTGCATTCCGGTCAGAGGCCACAAGAGGCCATTTGCTGTGATGCAGTTCTCAGTGTTAATTCTTACGTTTTTTCCTCTCCATTTAAATACAGCTTAGCCTAAGTAGAAGTCACTTACCAACTTCTTATCCATTTTTGCTTTGATATCTCTGGCAAGAGTGAAAAATGCCTGCATAAGGAAAACATTTGAAGGAATACAGTTAATAAAATACACTCTTAGCTGTTTCGTTTAATAATAATCTGCCCTCCTGACTTTAATAGCCCATGTGAAGTATCAGCAGTTGAGTTCTGCACCCAGTCAGGATGGGCAGCTGCTCTTACTGCTGATCTGCATGCTTTATAAGATAATAAACAGAAGAGAAAGGTTGCAGTACTTACATTCTCTATGTTTATATTTGCTTTTGCGCTGGTCTCCATGAATTTAATTCCAAAACTCGCTGCAAGCTGAACAAAAGCAGGTTTGGTGTTAGTTGGGTGGCTGCAGGAATAGCCATAAATGTAATGAACAGCGCAGGATCTCCTCCACAAATCAGGAGCTGAACTGCACTGCTATTGGCATCTGTTCTTACTGGGCTTTGTTCCTCTGTTTCACACTTTGTGCACATTTTCATCTGCTCCTTTGTCTTTAAATATATACACATATTTTTAACAGATACCTTGCCAGTTTGGTAACATCTGCGGTACACAGAAGTACTTTCTCTACTTTTATTGATATCCAGTGCCAGAAAAAACAATCCTGTCTACCTTTGTTTCACAAAAAGGGCCATTCCTAAATGGTTTTCTTTCTTTGGCTGAGAATTCAGCTAGTTCTTTGCATCTAACACACCTCAAGCAGATAATCCATCAGCATTCTAAACAGACTCATCTTTTTGTTGGACTGGGAAAATATTTTGCAACTACAGCTTGGGAAACGTTCAGTAGCTCCTCTCAGAAGTACCACTGAGCCTCTGAGGCAGCACACACACAACAATGAATGCTGCTGTTACACTCTGACAGCTCTCGGTCAGCACACCTTAAGGTGGGGACACCGCGGGGCAGGAGGTGCATTTACTGCATCAAACCTTATACACAAATCAGGAAATGATAGTAATGACTGCTTCAAAAGTGGAAAATTAATGAATAAAAGGTATTTTAATATTCATAAAGAGGACTTCATTGCTCAGCTCAGGACAAAATGCATAAAGACTGAATCCAAGAGAGAGCATCACCATGCCTCAGTTCTATTAGAAGCACTGCATCACTTCAGATCAGGTTCTCCTGAGGCTGCAGCACAGACTGCTTCTGCTCAGGCAGCAACTGCATCAGTGCTGGCAGGAAGGAACTCAGCAGCTTTACAGACACCCAGGAGCACCGACTTTACGCGCTGCCTTCGCCCTCAGCACCTGGGCGCAGCACAATGGGGCGCAGGCCGTGACACTTACCTTCTCCCCTTGCTCTCTAGAAACTTGTCTTTTGTCATTTGCATCACATTTGTTCCCAAGGATCATTTTTTCGACGTCTGGAGAGGCATGCTGAGATAGAAACAGATGAAAGAAAGGACTTCTGCTTATGTCTTACACGTACCGCCAAAAGATGAGGTGTCCATCAAGAACTTAAAATGGAAATGCTGGTGCTAAGCACCCTCTGTGGGTTTCTGAGCTGCACAGCATCTGATCCCAGCGCTGCACCGCAGGCACCGACTGCTCCATGAGCGCCCTGCGTCCGTCAGCTCTGAGCTGGCTTGTGCCAGAAAAGGAAATCAAAAGCACGCTCTGTACGCATGCACAACAGATTACTGCTAGCCAATGCATTCCAGCAGTTATTCCTGACTTTTGTTTCATTTATTTTCTACTTGGAGTTTGAAAGCGACGTTTCTGAAATAATTAATTTCTAAGTGCTTTTGGAAGGAGAAACAGCACCTTTAGCATCAAGTAAACAGAGAAATTACCTCTTCAATGTTCCTGACCCAGTTCCGAATGTTTTCAAAAGACTTTTCATTGGTGATGTCATAGACTAACATAATGCCCTAAGGAATAAGGAGACAGACACTTTCAGCTACCGTCAGTATAAGTAACAGTTCAGACCCGTCCGTATCAGAAAGGACAGATAAAGAAGAGCTGTTTCAGCACAACCCGGAACGTCAGCGCGCGATGCAGCGATGGCCGTGAGCTCACACTGAGTCACTGCGGCCGCCCGGCGCAGCGCCGGCACTCGGCCAACTTCAGGGCGGTTCCGCCCGCAGGCCGCGCTGGAGCCGAACCGCCCGCGCCGCGCTCCTACCATGGCTCCTCTGTAGTACGCCGTCGTGATGGTGCGGAATCGCTCCTGCCCGGCGGTATCCCTGCGAACAGACGGAACGCGGGGCTCACTCACCTCCCCTCCATGCTCACATCACGCGGCGCCGATCGCGTGCACCAAAACTGCTTTTGTTTTTACGGCAGCGCCAAGCGCCGAGGAGCAGAACCGCAAAAAAAGTAACGGCGCTACGCGGAGCGGCGACACCGGCTGTCAACGCGTGGAACTCACAGCCGAGCCTTACCATATCTGCAGCTTGATTCTCTTGCCATCCAGCTCTATAGTTCTAATCTTAAAGTCAATGCCTGGAACGAGAAACAACTGAATTACTTTTAATTTCGACAGAGAACCACGCGAGGTTTCCCCTCTGGTTCCCCGGTCCGGCCTTGCCGCCCTCCCACGAGGAAAGCGAGCGGAGACGCCCGCACGGCCGGCCCTGGGGCAGCGGCTCAGCACCAGCGGGGAGCGAGGCGGCCCGCACCAAACCGCACCGCACGGCACCGCACCGCACGGCCCGGCAGCACCGCGCCGCAGCCCCGGCCCGCAGCGCCGCCCGCGGGGGCTGCAGCAGCGCTCGGCCCCGCGCACCGATGGTGGAGATGAAGGTGGCATTGAAGGCATCCTCGGAGAAGCGGAAGAGCGCGCACGTCTTCCCCACGCCCGAGTCGCCGATGAGCAGCAGCTTGAACAGATAGTCGTACGTCTTCGCCATGTTCCCGGGCGCCGCCCCTGCGGCACCGCCCGCCCCCCGCGCCGCCTCACGGGCCGCACCCGCCGCCCATCACCGCCCGCAGCGCGCCGATTGGTCGAACGGGGCGCCGCGTCGCCGTCAAACCCGGGGGGCGGAGCCCCGAGCCGCCGCTCCATTGGACTCCGCTCGCGGCGTAAGCGGCGGCGCCATTGGTCGCGAGCACCCGCTGCGCGCGCCCGGCACGACGTCACTTCCCGCCCCGGGCGGAAGGCGCCCGCGGCCGCGCGAGTCGAAGCCGGAGGGAGGGGCCGGGGCGCGCGGGCAGCGTCACGTGTCGTGCCGGCTCGTGACGTCACCCGAGGGGCGGCGCGGCGCAAGGAGCGGAGCGTCGGGGCTGCGAGAAAGCGTTTAATGCGCGCGGCGCCCCCGGGGCGCGGAACCGCGCCGAGCTCCGAGCCGCGGTCTGTCGGGGCGCTGAGGGCGGATGGCGCTTTCAGGCCGCGGGGTCCCGCTCGGGGTCATATACAGTTCAGTTCGTTTAGCGTCTGGTCCAGCGTCTGGTGCAGCCCCAGGTTCTCCTCCTTTGCTTGGGCGAGTTTGTCTGGGAGAAGGGAGAAAAAATGGACTTAAAACGGACGATACGGCTTTACTCCTAGAATCAAAACGTCCCGTGAGATTCACGGGAAACAACGTGGCTTTTCTTTTCGCGGTTGCTCTCATCGTGAGGTGCCGCCCGGGGAGCACCGAGCTGTGTTTACTTACAGTGTCATCACTGCTGTGTTTTCAGCGGGTTAAAAGGAAAGAAAGCCCCAAAGCTGAAAGGTAGAGGGATCTGAATTTTATTGAGCTCTTACAGAGAAGGATCAGAGCGAAGGATCGCTTTGAGGGCTGCACAGAACGGCAGGAATTACAGGGAGGAAGAGAGAAGAGATGCAGCAGGTGGGGCGCCGCCCAGAGGCGCGAACTACAGCGAGGTCATGTCATTGAGCGCGTGGTCCAGCTCCTCGCTGATCGCTTTGTACTTCAGCTTCTGAGCGTACAGCTCATCTGCGGGCAGCGTGCGGAGGGCGGCCCGGAGGGAAAGGCGACAGCAGAGGGCGCGAGGACAGGAGAAGGCAGCAAGCAAAGCAGTTGGAGGGGAAAACAAAAGAAGAAAACAGATCTGTGATTGAGCAGCAGTGCGAAAGTAGAAATACGTGCAGCTGCCAGGTCAGGCATTTCATCTGTGCTTTTTTTTTTTTAAATAAATCTCACAGTCAATTTTCAGTCATCAGGCTAACTAGCATTATGATTTTGTTACGAATTGAAATGGTTCTGAAGATTCTATGTGTGTGAGTTGGCCAAAAAGTTTATTGTCGACAAGGTTTTGAAAGAGAGCAATTCCAGAGCAATTCTCCCCAGCCACGAGGCAGCACCGGCCCTGCGCAGCCTCCGGCACGGCAGGCGGATGCTTCTGTCCTTCCCCAGTAAGATACAACACCCGTTTTAAAAGCGATGTGTGATTTCATACCTTCCAGATCATCAATGGACTTTTCCAGTTTGGCAACCGTTCTCTCAGCAAACTCAGCACGAGTTTCAGCCTAGGAATATTAAATAGAATAATGAGCGCTGTTAAAAAACACCGCCAGAACAGCCTGGGGAGGGATGCACTCACTTCTTTAAGCTTGTCGGAGAGAATCTTGATTTCCTCTTCATACTTATCTTCCTTTTCCGAGTACTGTGGAAACAATACACACTCTTGAAGGGCAGTTGCAGCAGCAATAGATGTTTATGGAAACACGATCTGTTTACAACTGCCTTCCTTTTCACAACAGCTGCATGCACTTTGCACACTTTTCTCTGAGACATCTCAGACTCTGATTTCTGTACCATCACTGTGAACTGGTGATGTCCAAATCACTTCATGCATCAATTTAGACTTTATTTTCTTGTGCAGCACAAAACAGCTGAATGTGCAAAGAGAACTGGTGCAGCATTATTGATGGGCTCTTGGAAGAGGAAGGCAGGTAACCCCTCTTAATTTCTTTGTATTTTGGGAGTATTTCTGTGCATTTTAATTACAGGTTTTGACTTTGTCCCCATCCTGTACATTACTGAAAGAACCAACCTTTTCAGATTGAGCTTCCAAAGACTTCAGATTGTTTGTAACATTCTTCAACTCCTCTTCAAGGTCACTACATTTACTACAGGAAAAAAAAAAAAAAAAAGTAGAGGTCACCACTCTGCTGCCATTTGATTTTACTTAGAAGAAGTCTAAAAATATATGTTAAAAAAACAGTTAAGTTTGAAAGCAGGAAGTTGGGCACACGGGGCACAAAGCCATTTCCAAGCACACTACGTGCTCCCCCACGAGTAGATTTTTCCTTTGAGATGTTTTAACCTCCATTCTAAACCTGCAGGTGTGTAAAGCTACTCACACTTCGGACACCTCTGCGCGCTCTTCAGCTCTTTCCAACTCCCCCTCCAGAATCACCAGCTTGCGGGCAACCTGAGAAGAGAGCACAGCATTCACACGGTGCTGACCTGCAGCCCTGCCTGTGCTTTGCTTCTGAGCAACGACAGCACAGCAGAACGTTTGTGCACAAACGTGACACACTTTTCCCCCAAAGTCAGACCTTGCAGTTTTTATAGAATCAAATACCTACAACACTGCAAAAGTCACAATTAAAATTACTCCTTTTTGGGAGTATTACAAAGTTGTACCACCACAGTGTGAAAAACGTACAAAAAATGATCGAAGTAAAGAACAACAAAGTTGTTCTTGGTTCTCCCATAATTCTCTCAGCTCCCTTATTTACACTTTCCTCACCTCTTCGTATTTGCGGTCGGCTTCCTCAGCAATATGCTTGGCCTCCTTCAGCTGCATTTCCTGAATTTCCATTTTTTCTTCATCTTTCATTGCTCTGTTCTCAATAACTTTCATTCCTCTGCAGAAACCAAAGCAATTATGCTGACCATAGAAACATTTTAGCAATTTTGTATCAAAAGCCCCAAAGTGGAATTCAATATTTGTAACCAAAAAGGGCCCCATTACAACCAACCCTCAGGTTCTTCCAAGCTGATAGAATTACTCACTTAAAGTAGTTTTAAGAGAGAAAAAAAAGGCACCTCAAGTTCAGTCTCTGCAATGCACGTTAGCACACGCAGATGCTGGAATGTTCTGTGTACATTTGATTTTATTCTTTACACAAAATGAAAGAACAAAAGAAGGAAAGAGAGAGGGCAAGGGAAGCCCGAAGGGAAGGTTACCTCTCACTCTCATCCGCCGCTTTTTCGGCCTCCTCCAGTTTCTGCAGGGCTGTGGCCAGGCGCTCCTGGGCCCGGTCCAGCTCCTCTTCCACCAGCTGGATGCGTCTGTTGAGCGCCGCCACCTCGCCTTCCGCCTGCAGACACAGCAGGGAGCTGAGCCCCGCGCTGCCCCACGGCTCCCCCCACTGCAGCACAGCGGCTCTGAAACCCCGTTCCTCTCTCCCTGCTTTTTGTTTGTTTAAGCAATGGCATCTCAGGAATGTCAAGGTACACAGCAGTGCTTCCCCCTTCTTTTTTTTTGCTGGTACTCCTCATTCCTGGCACACAACAAAGGACTGAGCACTGATAAAGACAGACAGATCTACCTGTAGAATTCAAACTTAAATGTAATGGCTTGTTCAAAACCTTCATGTCTGGTTGTAAACTCTTGGTTCCAACACAGATCGTGATGCTACCAGCCCTGCACAATGAGCAGCAGACGCAGCCCTTCTGCTCAGCGGGGCAGGGCCGGCTGCAGCGCGAGGTGCTCTGCTTTGTACCAGAAATAGGGCAAAATTAAATATGTTCTGAAAATAAATCCTTTCCTTTTCCATCACTTCCTGTGGTACTTAAGGAACTGTGCAGCACACAGTCTGGAATGAGGTCGGTGTTATTCAGAAAGCCAAGCAGAAGTTAACTGCTCATTCCAAAATCACTACACAACAAACGGAGAGGTGCCTGCCTATGCACGATGCAAACAGATGAGCGTTCATAAACACATCGTGTTTATTAAGACACGGCTCCTTTAATCGCTTCATATTTGAAGAGAAAAGCCATACTCAAGTAACAGCCAGGATCGCTCAGCTAATGAGTGTGCATGTGTCCCTAACCCTGTCGTGCCACCCTTCCCAGACAGCAGCGCTGGGGCTGCGGGCAGAGCACTCCTCGTTAAGGGGCACGGCCTGCCGCGGCGGAGCAGCTCCCCGCAGTTTCCAGCCGCTCCTCAGCCCGGGGATGCGGTTTCCCCTCGGAAGGACGTTGGGAGGAGCTCAGCGGCCGACCCAGCTGGCAGCCGACGCCCGACTCCGGTCCCGAGCCGCCCGGCCTCTGGTTCGCTCCGTGTTTAACTTACTGGGTTCACACACACGGCATCGCTCACGCAGCACTCCGGCATCCGGTCCGAGCACCGCCGCTCCTCGCTCCGGCCGGGCCGCTCCCACCGACCGCGATCCCGGAGCCGCGGAGCGGAGCGGACCCTCGGGAGCCGCCCGGCCCCACCTCTGCCGCAGCCCGCGCTCCTTATACGGTAAAACTAACTCGCTGACATGCGATAAAACAGCAGGAAGATGCCGGGCAGGCTGATCGCACACAGACCTAAGTGAAACCAGCTGTCCGGCCCCGGGAGAGCGGCACGCTGCTGGAGAGCTCCCATTTCTCAGGGAAAACCGGGAGGGAAAAGTTATTTTCCAGCAGTTCGGACATTTCCCAGCTGTGCCTGAGCCAGCGGCGCGGCGCCGGGGCGGGACCTCCCCGCCCGTTGTCATGCAGCGCCTTTTCCCAGCGAGCGGCCGCCCCGCCCGCAGCCCGCAGCCCGAGCCCGGCGCGCTGCCCGCGGTGGAGAGCGGAGCGCGGGGAGGTGCGGGGCGCACCGGGCGCAGCCAGAGAGAGAGCCAGAGACAGGAAGGAAGGAGCGGGGCAGCCCGGAGAGAGCGACCGAGAGAGGCGAGCGGGCAGCCGGCGGTCTCACTTTCTCCCGCAGGTCCCGTTCCAGGTCCAGCTCCCGCTGCAGGACCTGGGCGCGATCCTCCGCCTCGTCCGCCTGCTGCTGCAGGCACTGGATCTTCCTCTTCACCGCTTCCAGGGAGCTCGGCGCGGCCATGGGCGCGGCGGGCAGGGCGCGCGGTGCTGCACGTGGCGGCGCGCGGCCCCGCGCCTTTCAATGGGCCGATGACGTCACGCGGCGGGAGGTGGGGTGGTGACGTCAGCAGAGGAGCGGCGCGCGGAGCTCCGGCACGGCCGCGCCCCGAGGACGCCGAAGCGATGCCGGCCGCTCCGCGCCACGTCGGGGCCCGTGCCGGCGCGGGAGGAGCGGAACCGGGCCCGGCAGCTCCGGGCCGGGCGGTGCGGGGCGGTGCAGCCCGGTGCGGTGCGGCGCGGTGCGGCCCTGCGCCGAGCGGAGCCGTGCGCTAAGCGGGGCCCCGGGAGCATCGCTCGCCTACGGAGACCGCCTCCCGGCTGCCGAACGGCGCCGTCCCTCCCCGCCCGGCGCCCCGTGCAGTGCCGTGTGCCGCTGGGCAGCGCGGGGTGCGGAGCGGGCAGCGCAGCGGGCGGCAGCCGGACGTACCTGAAACGTAGCGCTGCTTTCCCATCCCCTGACCGAGGTACTGCAACAAACAACGCTCGGTGATTCACACCGGCCCCGTCCCACACACACAGCAAAGCCGAGCGCAGCCGGCTGTGGGTACGTACATCCGTGGCCTTCTTTTCGGCCTGCTCCAGCTTTTCCTGGGCATCTTTCAGAGCCTCGGAGTATTTATCCAGCTCATCTTCGGTTCCTTTCAATTTTTTCTGCAGAGCTACCAGCTCATCCTCGACCTTTCAAGAGAAAAAAAAGGAATTTGGACAGATTACCACAGAGACGTGGCTAAAACTTCTCTGAGTTTTCATATCACAGAGTCCCAGAAGACCCAGGGCCGGCAGTGTCTGCCTGGCAGCGGATCCCAGGGAGACGATTAAAGCACGCTGTCCTCCAGCAGCACAGGATGTGGCTCAATACAGAACTTGGCATCATCCCCTTTACACCTCATTTCTGTTTTGGACTCCACAACATCCTGCAGTTCTACAGCGTATTTTACAGTGTTTTAAAATTACGTCCTTGTGCTCATTGTGACAGAATAACTCACGAGCTGTTAGGAAACTCTTGGATCGTGGTACAGTTATAAGAACAGGGCGGCCGCTCCTGCTGCAGCTCTGCACATCAGAACGACGTGCTGCGCTGGGACGGAGCCGCAGTGCCCACTGCTGTGTGGGTGCTCAGACGGCCCCAAACAGCCCCAACCTCCACCATCCAGGCCCAACCCGGCCATCGAGGTGCTCTCCATCCCACACCATATAAATCCATACTGTGCACTACACAGAACTATTTATATCCTGCAGGGAGAACGGTTAGTGACAAACTGCCTCACGCTCCCCAGGAATTTGCATTATCAGGAGCTGCTGCTGATAAGGGCGCGCCTGCAGCCCATCTGCTCCCGCCTGCCATTTGCAATACAAAGCAGTTCAGTCCGTGGAGAAAACTGATTTAACCATTTGACTCTGCTTTCACCTAAATTTAGACTGTCAAAACAGTTCACTCAAAACAGTTCATGTTTCAGTACGTGTATCTTCTTCATTCTAGCATCAAGGACAGCTTTACCAGCATTCCTGGCAGCGAGCTGTTCTTCAACACCACTTCATTGCTATATTTTGTTTAGAGTAACCACAGCGTGAGAGAACTGAACACGCTCCCCTGGGTGCTTCAGCAGGGAACAGCAAGCAGGAGGAAGTGATGCTTCCTTCATGTATGACATTAAAATCCTTACCACGGTGTGTGCCTGTGTTAAAAAAATATAGTAATAAAAGAGGTGGAAAATTGGGGACAATTCAGAGAAGAGAAGGAAGATCAAAGCCTTATTTCCTCTATTTCGCTTTTTATTGCAGATTACCCTCATACTTAACAGTTCCCAAAGACACGCCGTTCAGTCTGTAGGAAGTCACCTTTGCTAACTACGCGCAAAGGAGGGCTAAGCATTCCATCACCACTAACAGCTCTGAACACCCATCTGCTGGGAGGGGGCCGGTGCGGCCCGGCAGAACCACATCTGAGCTGCACCTCTCAGCCTATGGAAGAAACAGCGACCACATTCACGCGGTGCTGCGTGGAGCCCGGAGCAGCTCTGAGCGCGACAAAGAGATGAAGTGCGTTCTGTGAGCTGGGGTGGAGCAGGAAGGCAGCAGCACTTCACCCTGTTGGAAACTTTTTTTTTCGGTGCTTTAGCACCGAATTGGATGGCCAATTAAAAATGTAATTACATCACCCAAAGATCTCAGATTGGACAGAAGAAACACTTGGCCAAATAATAATGCGCATGGCCATCTGGAAAAAGTAGCAGAAAGAAACACGTTTAGAGAATATAAAAATATATGAGCATCTTTTTATATAAGCTCAGTAACAAATTGGAACACGGTGAGCAAAACATTTAAAGATCATTCTGAAAGTATTACAGCTCAGAACTGAGATAGGCATCCAGAATAAAGAACAACAAAAAGCAATAGAACATGCAAATGCTATCAGTATAATTCAATTAAAATTCGGGCTTTCAAATTAAGATATTTCTGATCATTGCTACAAATCACCAACACAGCACACCTACTGGCGAGTCGCAGCAGGCACTCCAAGGGCACTGCGGGACCACAGACAAGTCAGCAGAACTTCATTAATTCACTTCAAGGAGAGGCTCCATTAACATCGGCTGACTTCAGACAGCATTAACTCTGTTCCTACAGGTGTTCAATCTACAGCTTTGACTTTAAGTTTTTCATGTCTTTTCAATGGAATCACGAGCAAAAGAAAATTAAAGCAATTATGTATGGTTTAAGAAAACTGAGACAAAATAGTCTTAAAAATCTGTAGCTAGTGCTAGCTCCGCAAAGACAGAAGAAACGATCATTAATACCTAGCAGTGGCTGTACAAGTTTAACATCATAAAAAGGCAAAAGGTTCGAAACAGATTAATGGGGAGCTCAAGTTCAAATTTTGTTCTTGGAATCAGCAGCACAGCACTTCATTACACTGATTTCCACAGCACAATCCGTGATTTTATTTCTACTTGCCTGCTTGCATTTGTCCTCAGCTGCCTTCTTATCCGTTTCAGCCTGCTCTGCTCTATCAATTGCATTCTCCTTGTCCAGCTTCAACATCTGCATCTTTTTCTTGATAGCTTCCATTTTTGCTCAAGGATAGGCTGAGTTTGTCATGCAACCAAAAGAGTTGTAAAGCTGTATGTTTTTGGGGCAGAGAAAGAAGTCGTGCCCAGCCGAGTCACCGGGAAACTGAGCTGAAGCGGCTGCAGGGAGCTTTAAACCTGGAGACCCCTGGACAAAACCCAGATCCGTGGGCCTCTATCTTTCACACGCAGCCTTTGTAAGGAATGAGCTGGAACGCTCACTGGAGGAATCCTCGCCACTCCATCATCTCCTTATTTGGGCCCTGCTTTCTTAAAGAGAGCACTGTTTCCATTTTTAAGCTTCTGACAAAGCAGAAGTGTTGACACACGCGTGTGTGCTCGAAGGAAGGCTGCCCAGCACGGCCGCCTGCAGCAGCACGCAGCCCTGTGCTGTGGCTCAGCCCGGCTGCTCCAGCGCGACAGCATGGAAAGAAAAGGATCTCCCTGGATTCCTGCAAAATAAATCCACGCGTTACCAAACAGCACGGAACGGCCTTCAGGAGATACCTCAGGGCAGGGGGACTCACAGCCACCAAAGGCCTTTATTAATCTAAGCTCGATACAGAACAGACGCGAGGCAAACGCCTCACAACGCCCACAATTGAAGCCAGCACCTCACGGGCACCACCAGGCCTGCTCAGCTGCTTTTTGTGAGGGATTCTCCGCTTTCCCAATTCCAAATAAAAGCAACGCTTTCACTACCACAAACCGCAAACCCCCCGCCCCGCCGATCCCCGCCGCCGCCTCACGAGGGCGGCTTCGCCCCCGACCCAAGATGGCGGCCGGGCGGCGCCGCGGGGCGGAGTTCTGGCGGCGCCAAGATGGCGGATGGCGGTGGTGGAACTACAGCTCCCGGAGCGCCGCGCGCGCCTCTCCCGCGCCGCCCGTCGGCCGGTGTGCCGAGGTGCGGGATTGGCGTCGGGAACCCGCGGCAGCGCTGCTCACCGCAGAGTCATAGGACGGTTTATGTCAGCTTAGAGATTGAGGTCCAGCGCGTGCCGTGGGCTGCCCGCCCCTCACGCTGCCCATCCACGGCCACGGGGCACCCGCAGCTCCGCGCAGTGCCGGCGCCTCGCCGCCTCGGAGTGCGGGATTTCATTTCCCCGTGTCCCATCGCTGTCAGACCGCGCGCAGCTCTGCCTCCAGCTCACAAGCTGCCTTACAGCGCTGAAGGCCACGCCGAGGTCCGCCTCCGAGCTGGACAAGCCCGGCTCCCTCGGCCTCTCAGTAGAGGTGCTGTAACGGCCGGCCGGGCCGTGCAGCCCCAGGCCCGCGCTGCAGCGCTGAGGCGTGCGGTGCCCAGGCAGCAACCACTGCAGCGCCCTGTTCTCTGGGCAGCGGCCGCAGCAACCTGTGCTAGCTCTCTTTGGAGCTTTGTGTATCTTCAGTAGCTTTTTTTCCCACCGCTGCAGCTCACAGGCTCTGCGCTCAGTGAGGTCGGCCGTGCTCTGTGCCTCCTTCAGGCTCCACGCGGGGTGGCTGTGCTGCAGGCTTTGTTTGTAGCTCCTTTCTGAAGAGGCAGTTTTTGGGGCATGGCTTTGGAAACGAGTGGAGGAGAAAGCAGAAGGATGGTGCTCACCCCACCTGACCCAGCACCTGTGGGAATGCACGCCAGGAGGCAGCTGCAAGACCACGCACGCCTTTCCCCGGGTCTGCAGCTGCACGCAGCCTTCGGCAGGCTTCAGCCTGCTTCTGCGACGGCTCTCGCAGCCTCTGCGTCGTTTCCAACTGCTGAGGAGTGGAGGAGGCTTTCCAGCCAGCCCTCCCACCCTTCTCCCGCTGCAGGGCTGAGCACTCAGAACCGAGCACTCAACAAGGCTTTTTTGCTGTTGTTTCTGCTACAGGAAGAATGTTTTTCTGATCAGCTCTGTAGCGTGACTCAGAGCCATTTCAGAAAGGAACATCTAGGAACAAATCATCCCGTTCAGTCCATCAACCGGGTTCATCCCCTTCCTTCCCTCCCTGCTTCACAAACTGGAGAGAAATACCTGAAAAATCCTCTCTGGTCCCTCAGCCTCTGGCTTTCTTAACTTGTGAAGCGGCGAGCAACCAAGAAAGGAAAAAGCCCTCCACACCATGCATTTATTGAGTAGGTGGGAGCGTGTTCAATAGGTTGAGATCCCTTGTTTATCCCTCTTCTTTCAGCAGGATTGTTTGGGCCTCGCAAGGCTTGGCAAGACCATGTGTAAATAGGAGAGGGTACCAGGAGGAAATGAAGCTGGATGGCTCGACAGTGTGCTCATTTCTTTGGCAGCACGCTGTGTGGGAAGCATGTTGCAGCAGGCACTGTAACAGACAGGGGTGGTTCTTTTCGTCCTGTGGACTGAAGTCATTTTTTTCAGTACTCTCAATTCCTACTCTGATTTATTTTTTTTTCCAGAATTTAGTTGGAATGAACACCATGACCCATTTGCCCATGTGGAAGGAGCAGACACTTTATATCCTCAGTCTCTCCCCAAGCTCTTGCTCCATTTGAAACTCCCAAACATTGAGTATCACCTTCCTCTCTTGCAATAAGTTCCAACTCCTCTTCATATGTATGTGTGTCAAGACTAGAAATGTGTCAAAGTTGAAGGAAGCGGCTGCTGACAATCCTTTCTCAAGTTTCCTTTGGTTTCTGAATGTAATTATCTCCTAATAGACAACTCTCTCTTGTAAAGTTTCTGTTTTAGGAACTGTATAATATGGTACATCATTAGCAGCTCACTGTAACGAAGGTGGCACTAGAATGAATATCAAACTTGTCTCTTCCTGTCATCTCCGTTTAAATGTTCAGTTAGAAATGACAAAATCCATAAAATCTCACATCTCACTGAATTTTCTTTGTAGGATTTCCCTGCAGGACTGTGTCTCAGCATGAAGGATAAGGCAGGGTAGAATCAATCTGTACTATTGTATTTCTGATACTTTCTCTTATGTATCCATTACGCAGCACTGATGCAGACAAGACGCTGGGCTAGGTGTGACCAAAAGGACAAATCTATCCTTCCTGAGCCCATATCCAAGAATCTCTCTCTTTTCTTATTTAACCCTGGTTATCTTATTTTTCAACAGGGTCCTGAACACCTGGGATGCTGAGTGAAGTGTTTTGAATAGGATGGCAGGATTCACTCAGAACCCAAAATGTGCACCTGCCTGGGAAGCCTGTCCATGTGGTACACCAGAGGAAAGAAATCCCACCCCGCGTTCATGTTCCTGGCAAAAGACATTTGAGTGGATGCCAGAAGAGGAAGAATCAGCAGCCTCAATCCCAAGGCTTTGGTACCCTTCCCTTACCTGGGCTAGCTGTATTGCTTTCACTGCGGACCACCATTCTGTTGCAGAGAAGGATTTGCCTTTGAACCAAAGGTTAATAATCACTGTAGGCCATGCCATCCTCGGTTACTGCTATTATAGCCATTTTCTGTGCAGCACTGAAAGCTGTAAGCTGTTCCTTGCCATTAGATGGCAATGCAGATCCACAAATCTTCCTTCCTCGAGCCCCTGAAAACCATCTTGCTGCTGGTGGGTAGAACCTCAAATCTTCTGTTTCCGCCTACTTCACCATTTAAGACTGAAGCATCCTGGATTTGTTTTGCCTACAAACAAATGGAGCTGGCTGCCTGGGAGGCCAGCTCCTCTGGAGTCCCCAGTGGCATGAGTGCTTGCTCTCTGCATTGAGGGCCCCCCTTTGTGCACAGAGGTTTGTTTTTTCACTCTTCCAGCAGTTAATTCATCTCTTGTTTTGCTGTTTCCACAAGACATTTTGCTATCTTGCTTGTTTCTCAGCTTACTGCCAAACCTGGCAGGCGTGTGAGTCATGGGCTGCCGCAGGCCAAACCCTGCAGCGTACAGACTGCTTCCTAGGGTCATGAATCTCCCATCTGGGACGTTATAAAGAACTGCAGCAAGAAATAACTACACCGCAAAATGCTTTCCCCCATATCCATTTTTCAGCTTTCCATTGTTCGCAGTTGACTGGTTCATTTAACATGTGCGTTACTGTTTTTTATTCTTTTCCTTCACGTTTCCCTTTTCCACCAGAAAATGTTACCAGCTCACATCCAACTACACTCAGAAAACTCACAGTTCCAAACCCAGGCAAGTTTGCTCCTTCAAAGCTGAAGATACACAGCTTTTTCTGACACCTATTTTAACTCCCATCGCAGAGTCCAGCAGCCCCCACCAGTGCAATACTGATGCAGGGCAGCAAGCAAGGGAAGTTGTGGGGCCTTTTGGAGTCAAATACAGAACCGCAGCAGGATCTGTCTGGCTTGGTAACTTTAGCAGTGTTAGTGGTAGAAATCCTTGTTTGTACCGATGAGGATGCAACCAGGATCAACCCCCCCCCCTTTTTGTGACATTAAAAAAAAAATAAAAATCTGTTATGCTGCTGAAGCAGATGGAGAGAGCCTGACTGTTGTCTGGAGCAGGGCAGGATGAAAAGGCATTTTCCCCTTGCCAGCCAAGAATGGGAGATGGTGGGTGAGAATCCAATGGAGCAGAGAAGATGTCTGGCCTGGGAGCACAGGACCCCATGATGTGACAGGCAGATAACAGAGCAGGGTCAATGCAAACACTGTCAGCTGGCTCTCATCACTCACATCTCCCAGTATGTGTTACTATAAGCGCCTTGTAGATTTTCTGGATTTCAGATGGCCTAAACAATGAGGAATTTGCCCTTATCCTGAGGAGAGAATTGCTCTTCCTTCACAGAAAGGCTCTATTTATTCCTGGTGCACAAGATGTTAATAATATTTCTAAGCACTCTTGCAGATGTGAGCAGCATGCTGTAGATAAGTCATATCAGAAGAATTGTTATCGCTTGAGCTTACATGTTTTGTGCTTTTCCATTGCACTCTAAAATGCTGTTGCATTTAATTAGCCATTTTTCAAAGCATTTATTAATCATTTATTAGCTCTTTGTTCATTTGCTGTAGATGTATCTTGACATCTAAAGTGAGCCCAGTCATTTTATAACCAAGCGCTGGGTGATAGAAAGGCCTTACTCATCCTTCTTATCTGCAGAGCACTTGGCACATGGTGGTACAGCTCTAGTTGGGGCCTCTGGGTATTTCAGGAATATAAATACCAGCACCTTAAGCTGCCCCACTGCCTAAGATATCAGGAGCACTGGATGAATTAAATGGCAGGCTGCATTTTGGACTGGAGATTTCTAGCTGTAGGTTATCACTGTCAAACTTTGGGACTCACTGCCAGCGAGTGAACCCTTCCCAGCCCTGTGCTCCCCAGCAGCCAGTGTGGCCCCAGAGCTCACACCACTGCACCTCCCTCTGCTCTGCTGAGTAATGGAGCAGGGGAGCTCCGGTCATAGCACAGAGACTGTGCTCTCCCACAGGATCATGGACATAGGGAAATTTAGCACAGAACTCTTCTTTGGTACCTAGTGACACACAGATGCGGGCACAACATGGTAAACCTGACCAGTCATCTCTAATGCCTCATCCTGTGTTTTCTGTCTTTCTAACCACAACTCACCCTAAGCAAACAGAGGAAAAAGAGTAAAGTTTTCAGCTTTACTGAGTGCTGGGATCAGATGGCGTCAAGAATCAGCAAAGAATCTCCCTTACCTGAAAGGGCAGGGCTGAGAGGCTGCTTTCCCCAGGACTTACAGGCAGGGGAATCGGGGCTGTATTTTTCCCAGATGCTGCAATTTCCATATGACTGCTACCAAAAAATGGAGAAACCTTTCTCTTGTCGTTGAGAAACATCCCACTGTTCT